TTACACAGAATAAGGCACGCAACATATTTCATAGTATTTAAGCAGTGATAAAGGCATTGCATTATAAATATACTTAATTTGAATGAAAATTATAATAATAAGAACTCAGAAAAACCGTATATTGCCATAGTCGTGTGTTTATTAGTCACGTTGAATCAATGAAAGCAGTTGAATCTTCTGTTTATTCAGCTGCAGTGATAGGCATTTCCTGGGTTTCTTCTGCGAGGCATATTTGGAGTTTCAGCACGAGAGCGCCCTCTGGCCTTTGGATGGAGATTTACTGCTGATCACAGAACCGTGCTTCACTGAAAGATACGCATGACAATCGCAGCTTCTGTCGAATCGCGATCTCGATTCCATTTCGATTTATCGTGCAGCCCTACTAGAGAGGATTTTCTTTTTCCCAAAAATGCTAATATTATCGCATTGGACTAAAACTTACTGACTTTGCTCACACAGGGTATACCAACTTCCTAGGCCTATGTACAATTCTTTCCAAAAAGAAATACAAAATCTGTGTTAATTGAAAGAAACAAGTTGACAAAAAGATTTAATTGAAGATTTGGTGATAATATTGCTTAATTACAGTTTTATAAGCAATTTTTAAAAGGCTGGTCAGGAACCCAAATTATGTAAAGGATTTTTCTGCACAGTGCAAGGGGTAAGTTTTGTGTAGCCTAATCCCTGTTTTGCATCATTTCCACACTGTGCCTAAACCAGGCGAAACGGCAAAGTGACCAGTGATAAAGGATGACTCGCGTAACTTGAGGGTGGCATTTTAGTGATCATTTGGTTTCTGGTTTTGTGGCGATGCACTGTGAAATCTCATTGGTCCAAATCCCAGTCCACATAGCTGTGCATTTATATATCAAATATGTTCTGTTTCTTATTGTGCCATGAAGAGCTTTCGCCTTCGGCAAAGAGCGACAAACCACTTGTTGTTGGAAACACAGCGTTGCTTCTGATTAGTACATGGTGTCAGAAAGCGATTGTTTGTAGCTATAATAAATATGGGCGTGATTTAGTTGTGTAGTTACTTAACTTTTCAGCTTTGATTTGTCTTACCTTCCCTGTTTCATTTCAGATTTTATTGTTAATGCAAATGATAGCAAACCTCTACAGGCTTCAGAAATCTCAACACATTCACATCCTCATTGACTTATGTAATAGGTAGTGTGCACAATAATGTGGAAGCAAGAAATCACCACTTTGAATAATAATCAGAGGGAATAATAAGTCATTTCAGAATAAAAATATTTTAATAAATATTATTGCTCTTACACAGACATGTCCTTTTTAGTTTGGATTATATTTGACCTTTGTGACCCAAATGTTCTGTATTGTCAAGCTGAATAATGACCTACATTGAGATTTAACAAAATCTTTGGTATCACTATGGCCATTGGTCATATGATCCACTGAGCTTCAGCTCATTCAGAACAGATTTTTTTTAAACAAAACATTACTTTCCTGGTTATTTCCAGCAACATTAATTTCACAAAAATGATTAATTGAAGCTTCCATGATAAAAATGTCCTGTTTGGAGAAAAGTAATTATGCACAGACTAGCAAGGTAAATTGAAGCTTAATTCAAGCTGATTGGTTCTCGGCAGCTCTGTTTACAGTCATCAGTACCATAACAACTTTACAAAGGCAGGCGACGAAACCAGACTATGCAAGAGATATGAGATCAGAACACCATGTCTGCTTTCGTTGTAATGATTTTATCTTCATCCAAGTGAGTGACTAGGATCAATCTGTGAAGTTTATCTTAAATACCTTCTTTCTAACATCCTCATTCATGATTGGGTAAAGATTTACATTTTGAGAAGGAATAGAAAGATAACCTTCATGGATATGCATGACGTCTTTGTTAGATGGCCAAAAGCCTTTTTTTGTGTCACAGAACATGTTATAGTTTAGTTATTGTCAACAAAAATTAAGAATATTAAATTTAAGAGAAAATTTATTTATTTCATTCAAAAAATTGTTTGAATGGAGTTTTAGTGCTCCATTTCATTAATGTGGCAGAAAAATGATGAAGGAAAATGTTTATGTAATAATTAATATGCATTGATTGTTTAATATGGACATATGGGTAGCCCAGTGTGGGCAAAATAAACTTTATTTTGTATTTTGCAGAATTAGAATATGCAGAATTAGAATTTATTAGTGAAACTTTGCCTTTCAGACATGGGTTTGATTGAGTCATTTGCAAGATCATTTGCATTATTTCAAATGTACATTCAGAAAGTAATTCACTTTTGTGCGCAGTCACGTGGCGCGTGTTGCATAACCAGGTCCTTCGTTTATCTCTGCTCATCCACTGACAGTGAGCTCAGACACCTTGACAATTTTCCAGTTGTTTTGTTCAGGGAGGCTTTCATCGTGTTGCAGAACGTTGTTTAAGACATGAGCCAAGATCCAGTGTTTTGGAAGGGTATTACAGTAAAACCTTTTTCCTATTTTGTGGTGGTAATTCCCTTTGAACACACTGTCACAAAGGCTCATGGGATAACAGTAATGTGACTGCTGGGTCTGGTGCGCCACACATAAAGATGCTGAAATCCTCGTGGGTAAAGGTGTATAGCTAGGTGGTTCAACCTTATGCAGAGATGAAAACTCCTCTATCTACAGTCTTCATTTTTAATGCTAGCTTATTGAGAGGTTGCTAATAAGGCGTTGCTTATAATTTTACTAATAAGACAAGTTGTTAGCTTGTATTTCACACTGAATTGTTTACTGGAACAAATTGTTGGTAGGTCATTCAACTCTGTTAAACCCCAAATTACTTCTGGCAAGCCAAACCAAATCACTAGTTATCCATCTAATTAAAGTCATTATCTAATCTGTTGAGAGATTTACCTCCAACACCTGCTTCTGTTCCTGTAAATTTCTGAAAAGTATTTAGTCTTTAGTAGTGTTCACACTTTTATGCTTCACTGTGTGTGTGTGTGTGTGTATATGTTTGTGTATTTTTGAGTCATGAATATCAAGATGTTTATCAAGGGTTATTAGGGTTATTCTACTCCATTTGACATGAACAAAACATGTCTTTTGTTGTTGTCAAAATGTGTGATATTTTTAAAACCTTAATGACCTTGTCATTCTTATTTTTGTCTTGTTACAACAAAAATGGCAGGTTAGTGGCACAACAACACTGACTTTGATTTGATTGTCAAAAGATTTTCAAGTAGGGATGTAACGATTAACCGCGAGCCGGTTGAAAATCTCCAAGCAATAATAAAAGGGAACATTTAATTTATAATTTGTCTTAAATCTCATTTTGTAATAAAAATAAAAATCGTGAATCGAATCGTGAGTTGAGTGAATCGTTACATCCCTATTTTCAAGTGTTAATAATGTTTAAAATAAATTTGCTTTGCAAATGTACTTTATCTCATTTTTTTCTCTTGAAATTATAGGTTAAGATTATGCCAAACATTTCAACTTTTCAGCTTGAGAATTTCCTTTACAGTCGATTGTTTTTAAACAAATGACTTAAACATTTTCATTGTAGAAGTGTATTCCTTTTTTTGTATTAGTTTTTAACACATTTTTGACATATGACACATTTTCTTTTATTGACTAATAAGTTCTCCGTAAGTGCATTAGTGCAACATCTCATCGTCTTGTCTTCAGACATGTATAGACTACCGTTCAAAAGTTTGGGGTTGATATGATTTTTTTAATGTTTATGAAAGTCTTTTATGCTCACCAAGACTGCATTTATTTGCTCAAAAATATAGTAAAAACAGTAATATTGTGAAATATTACAATTTAAAATATATTTTTAAAATATCTTTTTGTTTTTTATTTTAATATATTACAAAACACTATATATTCCTGTGATGGCAAAGCTGAATTTCAGCCATTACTTTAGTTTTTTAGTGTCACGTAATCCTTCAGAACTCATTCTAATATGCTGATTTGATTCACAAGAAATTTATTTTATTTCTTCTTTTAATTTGAAAATGTAATTAAATCATATATATTTATATTTTATACATATGTATGAAACATTGGAAGTGTGTACTTAACTATGTTGCAAAATCTGATCTTCATTCAGATTTGGATTTACAGTCTTATCTCAGAAGTTGTGTTTGGTAATGACTTGGCATTAATTAAAGACAATCTAAGAGCTGACATTAGTTTGACATTTTCACAGATGCATTTTCAGTGACATTATTGTTAGCATAAACATGCCAAATGTATATTTAAGGCTATTGTTGATTATGCCTCAGACACTCTGTTCTCTCACATGTTTACATCCAAACTTCAGATTCACTCAATACCTGTATGCTGTTGTGATTTTAAAGGTTTTTGAAGGGCGATTCTATTCATAAGGAAATATGGAATGATGCCTTCAAGCATAAAAAACAAACAAACAAAAAAAAAAACCAACAGGCCCTGTGACAATGAATGACTTGATACAAGGTGTCCTTTAAATTGGCTCATTATGTTTATTGTGTGGGTTTAGGGAGTGGTTGAGTCCTGTGGCTCATTTCATTTGAGAGGTGCCCACATTAGAAGCAGCTTTTCCATTCAACGAGAAAAGACCACTGCTGACAGACACAAAGGGTGTTTGTGTTTGCACGCACACTTTTGTGTAGATACTGTGAGCAAGGGAGAGAGAGGGGGACATAGATGGAAATTGAGAGATTGGGTGGGTTAGCCATGTCTGGAATGTTGCCTCATGTTGAAACTCGAACTCCTCTTGAAAGACCCACAACATCAACTTTTTTTCCCTTCCCCTGCAGTGATAAGTTCATAGCTCCATTGGCATCGTTCCCTCTGCCCGCTGGCTGTGGCGTGTAGCCCTCAGTGGGGTGGTTCTGTTGGAGTACAACAGGGCCTGTGATTAGCCCAGCATGAGCCACAGGCATGGCTTAGAGACCCCTCAGATCCATAGGAAATCAGTGCAATGTGAAGCAAACCGTGTTAGGCTACTTGGATCAGCCAAAATAGGGTATAGCTATAGGATCTGCATTTATTTGTCTACTTCGCATGTATACTTTTTTTTTGCTTCTTGTTCAGTTTGCTTCTTGTTCTGTCACCACACTTAAGCATACGAAGCTTACTCTTTCAGTTTTTATTTAAAAAACATTTTCCATGAAAGTTTGAGTTAGAATAGTTTTGTAGTAGCATGATAAACACAATGAGGCTGTAAAAGCTGGATGTATAAAATTGTGTGAATTGAAATGTATTGTGTGTAGCAAAATTATGTTTTAAAGACATGCAGTACATCTTTTCACATACAGTACTGTACACATTCTTGCATTCTTTGTCTTTAACAGTCAACCATGAAAGGCCTTTTCACTCTCCTAAATACAGGAGTGAAATATTTTTTTCTGATTGGTTTTAATCCAGAAGATGTGGGGGGAGAAATTCATTGCATCGTGATGGCTCCCACTTTGCTGGAGGGAACAAATAGTTCTAGATCCAATTTCTTGAAGTTTTCTCTGATTTGGAGCAGAAGAGAGGATCTTTTGTGAGAGTGATAGATTTAGATATATAAATTGGATGGAAGGGTTTCTGAGCAGGTGAATGATTGGTGTGTAGAGGATGTAAGAACAAAAAGAAAAGTTTAGGTTTTTGGCATTACTTTAAAGTCAAAATGGGACAGGCAGCTGTGTGTGTATTGACAGGTAAGGGAACACAGTTTACATTTGCAGTTAAGACTCTTCATTTCCATGTTTGTTTGAGATAAAAGAGGTCAGATGCTGTGTAGCTCAGAATTCATTTTAAATGATGACGCAGCTCTATGTTGTTTAGAGGACAGACTTGTCTACTGTCACTGACAGTTGGGACAGTCTTGCTCTGCATTCATTGCTCTTCACTTAGTGACTTAGATCACATTTTCCCTTTAGCGACAGATGGAGTAAAAAAAATCTTTCAGCATTTTATATTTTTTGATGTTTACAATGCTTACAAAGATGCTCTTTATTCTGTAAATATTCTACTTTTGTTTTCTTTTACTTCTCCACATCATTAGAACATTCTAACTTACACTATAGAACAGTTAAAATAGGCCTGTTAATCTGATTGGTGAAGGAGCGTTTTTTGATTCTGATAAAAACAGTTCAACAGCATTGGGACTTTTCACTGTTTGTATCACTTCACATGTCTGCATTTATAAATGTTCCAAAAAAGAAAACAAGGAACATTTATATTCAAGTTCTTTGTCATTTAGCATTAAAATTATTTGTGGTCACTCTCTATGTAAAACAGAAAATGCAAGCCACTATTTTTGCTCTTGTCCTTATTCTATACATGGAAAAGTTTATTCAGAAAAGTCCTTCCTAATTTGGATGGTTAGGATCCTGCATGGCTGTTAAGACGGTAATATTTGGAAGGATTAAATAATGAGACCATCTTAAGTATCCCTTTAAGACTGTTTGAACTGAGTTGACTCTTCAGTTCATATGCAAAAAAAAAAAAAAAAGTTATAATCAAAAAAATGTTTACATGCAAATATTGTTCAGATGACAAAATAGGCACGTAATGAATGTTTTGTTACTTACAGAGAAAAAAAAAATAACATGACATAACCATCAATCTATGTTGTGTTTGAGTACAAAACCATTGCCTGTTGAAAGTTTGAAACAAGTGCTTTCATGCCATAATATCATCATGCCTCACACCTCTCTAATGGAGGGATCAGCAGCTGACAGATTTGTTCAAAACATCAAATCATGTCCTGACTTTCATTTCCATTTGTTTCTGTAGAGTTGCTGGGCTCCACAAAGAGGCTGAATGTGAACTACCAAGACCAAGACGGGTAAGTTCTTATATTTTCCATTCGGTCAAAATTGTGGAGAACAAAGAAACTATATATTATATATATGTATATATATATATATATATATATATACACCTTGCTACATGTACTGTGTTAGGCTAACCGAGACTTGTCATTTGCACTTATATATTGTAGCTCTTCTGTTAGTTTTGACTGCTTTTATTGTCCTCATTTGTAAGTAGCTTTGGATAAAAGCGTCTGCTAAATGACTAAATGTAAATGTATATATGTGTAAAT